AAAAATTAGCTAAATGTAAGAACAGTGAGCTAAATAACAATAAAATGTTAGGATAAAAAATTTAACACTTCAAAAGTGAGCCAAATAATGAAAAATATGTTTAGTGAAATTTTTTAATATTTCATTTTAAACTTTTATTTAGTGATTAGTTTCTGAAAGACACAGACAAACAATAATAAACAATAAAAATTGTTCATTTTAACTCGTGGTTGTGTTTTAGAAACAAGACATTCCTGAAATCGATTCAAAAAACTAAAATCTATTCCTCATCGTCTCTGTCAAACTACACGTCTGCTTGTGTTTCAAGAACAGGTCAAACATCTTTTTAAACAACTTTTCTTTTCTTTTCTTTTTTCCAGAGCTTGGTGGTTCACATGTGAACAAACAAAGATAGCAGATGCTGCTGAATTTTCTTCATGCTCGGCTTCTTTTTTGCTTTCCCAGGTGGCAAAAAATCATTCAGATCCAGATTAAACTGGCCTCGCCCTCCCAGCTGATTCTGGGCTTTGATGTGGAGATAAAGCAGCAGTTCCAAAATCTCCATTTTGTCAAAGCCTCACATCAGCTTCCAGCACAGGACTTCCAGCTGGCTGAACAATCTCTATTCACAGCTTTCCTCCTGATTCGAGCCTCCGGTGGAAAAATAAAAAGTAAAAAATCAGCAACAGCAGAGAGGAAGAAGAAAGTCGACTTGTTCTTGTTTTGTCTCGTTTCTCCAGTTTTATTCTGATCCTTTGTTTATCTAAGAGCATTTAGAGGCTTGGATTAGTGATGTTTCAGCTCTGAGCGCCAGTATTCAAATATTGAGTGAACTAATGCAAAACGCTTCCTGAAATGAGCGGTTTAACATGTTTACTTAGAGTAAAATCCAGTTTTTACCCAGTGTTTGCTCTTAGATCAACACAGTACTCCAAATAAGTAAAAAAAAAATGTTTGAGTTTGTGAAAGGACAGGACAAAAAGCAAAATTCCACTTCCTGTTTGTCTTCTGAGCAGCAGAAGTGAAGATGAAGAWGACAAACAGCAGCAACCTGCTCTTCTTCACGTTTCCACCCAAAGAGATTAACTCTGCTGTTTTAATTAAAACAATTTAAATGTTTTCTTTGTACGTCGGCTCAATCTGTGGAGCTGCAGGTAAAACAGTGTACATAAACCTAATAAAGGAATTATGTTCTAACAAGTTTACAGGTTGTTTTTTGTAGTAATTTTTTAAATATAAGATAAAATTTGGTGGAAGGGCCACTAAAGCAACTGAGAAGGGATTTTTGTATTTTATTTTTACAGCAGAATGATGCAAACGTGATCCTGAACTCCTTTTAAAATGTTACAATCTGATTATTCAATGTTAATAACACCCTGTGACTCTCAAGTGCTAAAGCTAGCTGCTTCTCTTTAACAGCTAACACCAGTGGTGGATCTAGGATTTTTTAGTGTAAGGGGCCATCAAGGGGCACAATATTTATAGAGGGGCCAAGTATTTGTTCGACATCCTTGCACACAAATCCCCAGTTTTTGTAAGGTTTAATCAAGCTTGCACAGTAAATTCTCCTTATCAATTTTACATGATTTTTTTTACTGTACATAAATAAAAAACACTCAAACACACATGTGAGAAAATCCAGCCATTGTTGTCAGTAAAAAAATTTTCCCTGCAGTATTGTTCAAATTGAAAAAGACTTCTGTAAGCTTACTTCATGTTGGACTTTCCTATTTGACTCACTGGCGCTACTAGTGGGTGGAAGTAGAACTGCAGCCACCATCATTGTTCTTGGGCAATGACAGATGAGTGAAAGGACAKGGGCACTTCAGGGGGACAATCAGATTTCGGATGGGGCTAATGCCMCTGTGGCCCCGCCCCTAGAACCGCCCCTGGCTAACACTAAAAAAGCAGGAGGAAACCTGCATTTTATGCAATGCAAAATAACAGGAAAATTCTTTTTAACTAGACACCACATAGCAGTAGCATATATGACCCTTGCACATATGCAAAGCACCAATGCACCAGAACTCACCAGAACCGATTTATTGTTTGGGGGAGGGGAGGGGGGGTCATTGATAGGCCTGATGGATATCCCTTTATCAGAGCTAAACAACAAAACAAAAAAGCTCCTATATTGATTAATCTTTGAGCTATAAGCATTCTTTTATGTCCAGACATCCCCTTTTTTAGTTAGAGCCCCCTCCTCAAATATGGGGTCTATCGTAAAACCGTTGGTTGGCCCAGTGTAGGTCAGACTCATTTACATTCCTGCCAAATTTCATGTTGATCGGTGCAGCCGTTTCTGTGTTACAGTTGACAAAAAAAATCACTGAAAAATAAATAGTTCACAAAACAACACGCACGTGCAGCGGTCATGAGAAAGCACAAACATCCTCTTTTTCATTGTTTCAAGTATTTTGAGGGGGGGGGGGGTGTTAGGAACCTGACAGATTTATTGTTTGGTTCAGAGTCGTTTATCTTTCTAAAGTAAAAAAAAAAGTTGCATTGATAAAACAAAGAAAGACAGTTTAAGATCAACGTTCACTCTTCCTCACCRTCTCGTCGGTTGAGTTTGGCGAAGCCCGGCGCATGGCTGCTGGACAGCTGAGAGGAGCTGCTGAAGGACGAGGGCAGCAGGCTGGTCAGCAGCGGGCCGTCACACACCTCTGTCAGACAAAACAAAACACACACAGGGTTAAAGCTTAACTCTTCTACAAGGTCTTAAAAAATGGAGCATRAATGTCAAAATAAAGTTCACGTCAGCAAATGAAAATGCAGGAACAAAAAGCAAACAGAGAGTTTCACAGAGAAGAGATCAACAGCAGAAACACCACTGAGGATATCACAATCTAACACAGCTGGAGATGAATCAGTCTCTATCTCTTAGCCTGAGTGGGAAAAAAAACACGTTGAATTGATAAAAACAGCAGAGGCTGAGCTGCCTTCTAAATTATCACCTTTGCCTGACCAGAGAAACACGGTGGAGCATTTAAATATACAGTGATACCATCAGCGTCAACAGAAACCACTTCTGTGAGGTCGGAACACAAAATACTAAAGTTCTGTGGGTGGAAACGAATCGTTCTGCAGTAAAAACATCTCATTAGATGAATGAACTGTGTAAAATCTAATAAAATGATGAGTCAGGGTTATCTGAGGAAATCTGGTCATTCTACAAATTTATTAAAGGTCTGGGGTCCACCTCAGACCCTGAGAATATTGTTGCACCCAACTACACTACACACACTATTGTGACGTCTCAGACTTAAAGCACCTGTGACTACAAATTTTTGTAAACATAAATGCAAATTTGGAGAGAGAGAACAATTTTACTCCCCTGAGACAAACAGGAAGTGATGTCAAAGGGGAATCTCTGAATGTAAGAGCATTAATAAGCAACAACACAGACTGCAGAGAAGAATCTGATGTTTCTTTAGATTATTTTTAGAGATGGAGTCAAGAGTTCAAATAAAATTGTTTGAACAAACAAAAAAAAAACTCTTATCAAGTTCCCCTTTGATGTCACTTCCTGTTGCACTTCGGCTGGGCCACATTAAAAAGAAAATATGCCAGATATTTGAAGAAAATTAGTAAAATCATGGGTTGATTTCAAACTTGGAAAAAAAAAAGAATAAAACACATTTGGTTGTAGAGAAAGAGTTCACAATTAAACCAGTACAACCCACACGTTGAAAACCACTCAGCAGCACGGTGCGTTAAATCATACAAACACACAAAATATCATAATAATATTCAGTTTTTTTCTCCCGTTCGAAGCCGAGCCAAACCAGCGCTGCCTGTGTTTAATGTGTCTGCTAATAGATGTTGTTCTCCACCACGGAGACAAGAGCCAATTTCTGTGATTCATGCTGCAGTTTGATTCAGCCTCACAACTCCGACAGAAAGGCTTTGATTTCTGTGTCAGCAGCTCCAGAGAACACTTCATTCCAACAACACCGCTTCCTTTCCGTCTGCAGAGAAATCTCGTGTTTTTGTTGTGCAACGACGCAGCTTTACGACTTCGTGACAACTTTATGTTTTTTTTACATTATTTATTGTATATTTCTTTAAAGACATTAAAAATATGTTGGGAGAATAAACGAGTCTGGTCTCTTTATGACAACAGAAGAAACTGAGGCAGAAACGGAGAAATGAGGAACAGTTTGTCTCTGATTGTGTTACTGTTTAAACTGCCTGTGACATGTCTATCCTTCAAATGCAAAAAGTCAAAGAAAACATCTTTATACAGTATATATACACTCACCGGCCACTTTATTAGGTACACCTGTCCAACTGCTCGTTAACACTTAATTTCTAATCAGCCAATCACATGGCGGCAACTCAGTGCATTTAGGCATGTAGACATGGTCAAGACAATCTCCTGCAGTTCAAACCGAGCATCAGTATGGGGAAGAAAGGTGATTTGAGTGCCTTTGAACGTGGCATGGTTGTTGGTGCCAGAAGGGCTGGTCTGAGTATTTCAGAAACTGCTGATCTACTGGGATTTTCACGCACAACCATCTCTAGGGTTTACAGAGAATGGTCCGAAAAAGAAAAAACATCCAGTGAGCGGCAGTCCTGTGGGCGGAAATGCCTTGTTGATGCCAGAGGTCAGAGGAGAATGGGCAGACTGGTTCGAGCTGATAGAAAGGCAACAGTGACTCAAATAACCACCCGTTACAACCGAGGTAGGCAGAAGAGCATCTCTGAACGCACAGTACGTCGAACTTTGAGGCAGATGGGCTTCAGCAGCAGAAGACCACACCGGGTGCCACTCCTTTCAGCTAAGAACAGGAAACTGAGGCTACAATTTGCACAAGCTCATCGAAATTGGACAAGAGAAGATTGGAAAAACGTTGCCTGGTCTGATGAGTCTCGATTTCTGCTGCGACATTCGGATGGTAGGGTCAGAATTTGGCATCAACAACATGAAAGCATGGATCCATCCTGCCTTGTATCAACGGTTCAGGCTGGTGGTGGTGGTGTCATGGTGTGGGGAATCTTTTCTTGGCACTCTTTGGGCCCCTTGGTACCAATTGAGCATCATTGCAACGCCACAGCCTACCTGAGTATTGTTGCTGACCATGTCCATCCCTTTATGACCACAATGTACCCAACATCTGATGGCTACTTTCAGCAGGATAATGCGCCATGTCATAAAGCTGGAATCATCTCAGACTGGTTTCTTGAACATGACAATGAGTTCACTGTACTCAAATGGCCTCCACAGTCACCAGATCTCAATCCAATAGAGCATCTTTGGGATGTGGTGGAACGGGAGATTCGCATCATGGATGTGCAGCCGACAAATCTGCGGCAACTGTGTGATGCCATCATGTCAATATGGACCAAAATCTCTGAGGAATGCTTCCAGCACCTTGTTGAATCTATGCCACAAAGAACTGAGGCAGTTCTGAAGGCAAAAGGGGGTCCAACCCGTTACTAGTGTGGTGTACCTAATAAAGTGGCCGGTGAGTGTATATATAAAAGAAACTTGTCATAGCAAATTATACTTGTTTAGTCCCATAACTGGTAGATTTTCTTTTGAGCTTGGCTCAGCCAACGTGAAACAGGAAGTGACATAAAAAGGGGATTATTAAAAAAATAAAACTCTGATCTATGTTTATTAAAACGTTTTTATTTGAACTCCGACTCTTCTTCACCGCTCTGATAAGAGACTCAAAATAACCTACAGAAACATCAGATTCTTCTCTACATTCTGTGTCGTCACCTCGTCAGCCATTGTGGCAATGCTCTCACAAGCAGACATTCCCCTTTGACATCACTTCCTGTTACTTCACATAAGAATATCTCAACAACTGTTCATCTCAGTGGAGTGGGATTTCTTTTGCAATATATTATAAATGTTATCTTTCCAAAAATGCATTTATATTTATTACAAAAATGATGTCACAGTCACTTTAAAGTCTCTGCTTTTTTTAAACTATTCTTTCACAAACGGCTCAAATGGCACAGCTCATGAGTGGTTTTTCAATTTGATGGGACTTGGGAGAAATACGGACTTATGCATCGTCCTGAAATGTCTTCTTTTAACGAAACAATCCTTATTTAGCTCTAAAAATGCCATTTCTGTGTGGATACATGGTTGAAACAAAAAAAAAGCTTAATGTAATCACGTAAAGATTCCTTCATAAGGCTTAAAATCACTCTTGTGAGCACATAAACTCATTAATCTGTCAGCTGTTTAGTGTAAAATCTGTCATCAGCAGTAAAATGACATAAAACAGTTAAATTATGGGCTGTAAACTGAAAACCATCAAGCAGAAAGAGCATCATTTCACGGTAGAGCTTTAAAAATTTTTATAAACAGGCATTTTAGTTTGTCTTTACACAACGTTTCAAGCAATAAAAGTACATAACAATGCAAGAAAATGTTCAGAAGCTGATATGTTTGTCTTATTTGTTTCATTCTGTTCTCTCTTTAGGACCTTAAACATTATATAAATGTCATTTTATCACCAAAATCGGATTTAATTTCCCCCCAGAGTGAAACTTTAAAAAATACAGTTTTTAAGGCCTACACACATTAAACTCCTCTGTTTTAAAAGGCCATTTGGTTACTTAACAATCAGTCTCTTTGTCTCTGCAGCTCCTTTACATGGTTTTATTCATCCCTGCAGGCTTGACCCGACCCACTCCGGCGACTGTGGGTGGTGAGGAGCTCTCGGCGTAAAAAGCAGGTGAATTACAGTCGTCTGAAGAGGTGAAATAAGAGGGACGGCTCTCCAGCGCGGAGGGCTGTAATCCCTGAAGAGATAATGCACGACGAGAGCGCCGCCTCGCCGAGGCAGCATTCAACGAGAGGGCAGCGGAGTTAAAAACACAGAGTGGGCTTTCCTCTCCAGAGCTTTGGCATTTAAGCGCCGACGTCCCTGACAGCGCCGAGCACAAACACRGGAGGGGAAAATGGAGCTAAATGTTGACGAGCCACTGACCTCTGCAGCCGACGAACCTCAACACGGTGCGGAATTGAAAGCTTCTTGAATGTTTATAGAACTTTCTCAGAAACGAGYAACTTTGACCACTAAAAGGAAGGTAGAATTATATATTTTCACAGTTAAACCACTGAAAGGACACCAAACTACCTGATATTGAGAAGAAAAGATATTTCAAGATGAAAAATAAAAWAAATAACACTGGACCATAAAAATACTGTGTTGTAGAATAACGTTTTTTAATCTAAGGCTACGTTCACACTGCAGGTCTTAATGCTCAGTTCCGATTTTTTGAAAAAATCAGATCTTTTTGTGTGAACGTTCACATTACATTTTAAATGTGACCTGCATCAGACCCCTGTGTGAACGCTACACAGCACTGATGTGACACGCATGCGCAGTAAATGACGTGACGTCTCATCAGCCGGCTTGTTTGTTTACAGAGCTAGCATGGATGCTACATATTACACATCGAATCGGAAGTTGTTGTTTAATCAGAGCCGATTAAATAATTATCTGACCTGCTTCTTTAGTTCAGTGTTTATATCTGAACCTGCCTCTGACCGGGATGCTCCAGTGAAGTTTATTTTTTTTTTGAATGAAACTACGAGCTGGAAAAAAGTATCGACCGAGTAGCTAACTTTAGGATCGATACTCTCCGGGACTCAGGCTGGACATCATTATTATCATACTATCTAAGTGGAAAATGA